CTAACCGCAAGGTTGTCAGCAATGGACTCGTTCCCAATGCTCCCATAGTTATTTAACGCTCAAATAATCCGCCATTACAATGACTCACACAACAGTGACGCAAACGATGATTCCACCATTCATGGTATGTTTTCATTACTTTTGATTGACGCCAGATGGATTATCAACAAACAGTCTTTCCTAAGCATGCTTGCATATTTAAACGAGCTGCAAGCAATCCTCGTTACCAAAACGTGGTATCCCGCTGATATATTAGATTGTAATCTAATTACCCCACCCCTTTAACCGTTTTTTCGTAAAGAGGGGTGTAAAAGAAAAGGTGGAGGGTGGCTCACGCAACTCTATCAGATATGTACAGCTGAACGATTTGAACATCCACCGCAGGCAAATGTCCCTGATTCGCACTGGCTCCCTGTTTCAGGAGCCTCGGTTTACTTGTATTTCTCCGCAATCCGCTAAATTCACCAACCATTAATGCTGTCCGTTTCACCTCAGCTTTCGATTTTGCGTCGGAATTGACGCACAAACTAATGATAATCCTAAGTGATTTCAACATACCAATGATACACTGGTCTTCCCATACCGTGTCTATACGCAGAGCTCTCATTTACTCAGTCGGAGCTGGTTGGACACAGTGGGTTACAAAACCAACTAGGTTGACGAACACATTGGACGCGATGTTTACATTGGGTATGGACAACGTACAGAGTGACCTTTCAGGGAACATCCCTGGCAACGACGGCAACATGATACTCTTAACGCTCACCGTTAAAACGACCACCAAACAAGTAGCTCCTTCCTACACCAGCCGCAGTATTAATTGGAAACCCAATCGTCAAATAATCCGGCCTGTGTTGTTTCCATGAATACATGCACAGCCGTGGAGCACTTCTACCATTAGTTTCAGCGAGCCATAACCCTCGTTACTGCACAAGAAAAACGAATCAGTGACGTTTAAAATGATGCAGCCGAATGCTCGATGAGTCAGAAATCCAGCAATCCAATCGCGCGCTAAAAAAAGGATAGGATATTTTACAATGATTACACAGATGCATCGATGCAGCACTGAAATCAAGCACTTACAATTGATGGGGCGAGCAAATGAAGAACAAACAACCCTACGAATGACATGTGAAGCAAAAGAGCTGGTCAGATTTCCACATCGAAGAACCAACAAACGCTTTCATTGATCACTGGACTGGTGGACGACATCCAGGCGCATTTAGCTCTTTCTTCTCCACCTACATAACTCTTGACACTAACGCCATAAGTACACTAAGACTCCATTTAACGTGCTATTGCTCTCCGCAATATCCGCCAAGCAGCACACTCTATACAACAGTGCTCAATTCTGCAGGCTGATGGCATCTCCCCAATCCGCCATATAACTGGGAGGACTTGATATGTCACTGCTCCTTTTGTATACGTACTTAACAAATCAATGGGAAACTTCATTCAACAGCCCTCGCCTCCAGGGCTGCGCAAAACAGGAGACTGACAATAACAGGCCAAGCCGAAACACTCCTATAATAGCCGGATTAATCGTGAAGTTTGTAAAAAAGTGTAAGGAAGTTCATCAACTCACTGGAGTTGATAAACAGATCCTAAATGGTTTCCTTGACTAACGATCGTACATATACTGCTAGCAGCATTACCTGAACTACACACCGAACTCCATTGGCTAGAAATACGCCACATTAGTTCTATGTTTGCACACACAGAAAACAATCGATTGGGTGCCTCAAAAACGGTTACCAATCCAGAGAGATTCCTTTGAAGCCCGCAACACATTAATTGGTTTGGCCATCATCATACATGAACGGTCCCGCTAAAATAGTCATAGGTGACTACTGCTCTTCCCCGTGTCCAATTACCAAGAGGGTTAAACAAGGATGTGCACTCGATACATTAATTTCCCTTCTTTGCGTCAATGATAGCAGTTCGGTTAACAAACATAGCGTGCTATATTTATTTGTTGATGATATAACATTTGTCCACAAGTATCGAGGAGTTGAGCTTCCGAATGTACTACCACTCATTCAAGAATACATTCATTCGTTTGAGACTTCGTGCGACAAGTGGATGATGACGTTATAAGCACAACATGCAAGTATGATATGTCGCGGTCGTTTGACAACCGACGTATCTATCAGACGTAACAGCGAACACACCTGTGTAACATGGTCTACCCGTGACCGTGGAAGTAGATATCCTTGTACCTTTAGGCTCCTAGAATAGATTAAGCAGCAGATAGCACGAGCCAGAAAATCCTTCGTTAACATTTCTCATAACATGCATACAATTACAGCTAAGGTTGAACTATTTAACGTCCTTAATCGTCCCATCCTTAGTATCGTATCATAACCTGAGATAATATGAGGAAAGCACACAGAACATGGATAGAAAACCTTCAGCGATCATTTACTAAGCATATATTGGGGGAAATTTCTATCATAAACTCTCGAGAGCGATGCCAGCAACTCCGTCTCGATCCGCATTGGCTACGAAGACTAAAAGAGAAATGGAGATTGCTGCACATTCTGATTCAGGGCAATACCCATTGCAAGCGATTCACCCTTAACATTGCAGCACAATTACACGCGAGACCTAGGTAACAAAGACCTTACCCTGATTATACCACGATGCAAGATAAATCCGCGGCCTAACTTTCGTCTCACCATATATGCTTCTCTGTGGAATCGGTTGCCATTCACCATCAGGTCATTTGAAACTGTGCAATCCTTTCGCAGTAAGTTGAGAAGCTATCTCTACCTGGACACAATTATGTCGTTTTTTCGTGGGGAAGATCATTTGATCATCCATTCAATGAAAGCCCAGCTAACGTCTAATGGGTGTAATATCAACAATTTATGCAATGTAATTAGTCCTCCAGGTCTACAACATACTCAAACTTCAACTTTGCCTCCTACCGTCGCATAAAACAAACATATGGGGCAAATATCTTGCCAGAAATGCAGACAAATACAAGAAGATGACTTGATAGTGCTTTTGCAAGAGCAAGACATCACCTGTGCGTGTATGTTCCGTGCCAAATATTGTCACAGCTTTTCACTTGATGAGAAATATGCCCAATATTATTATTATTATTATTATTATTATTATTTTCATGCGGTATATTGTTTCGACCAGAGGCAATACTAACTTGGAGACTAATTGTACCACTGGAACTGTGCACCTTGGACGGATCACATATTGTGCGTTCGATACGTTACGTACTGCTCGGACAAGCGCTGGAAATTTTGCACGGGGACACCGGCTACCGGCCGGGTCAGAATACGAACCAATGGTAACTCTTTCCGACAAAAGATCTGTTAAAGGGGTACTGATGGAGAACGTTCAAACTCCTCATCCTAGGTTGACCAGCTACTATCAGGCGTACTGTTGGTGACCTCTAGCATTGACACTGTCATCGCTGTCTGCCTTCCGTTAACACCAATGTGTCAGCCTACTCGGGAGCAGACCTGCCCCCCCCCCCCATAGGCGCATACATTTACCAATGTGCTCACATTCAGGGAGTCCCATTAGCTTAGTTCCCATGACCGATGAGAGTGTCACTGATAATGTGGGCATGTAACCCCTCAGGGAGAGTATGAATTGATGCCCACGTGAACTTGAATGGACGACACATTATTTTGATACTTTAACAAGCTAGATTATTAGCACTAAGCGTGAAGTTGAGTTCAAAGAGGTATAGACGGGCGCGCCATTTGCTGGCCCATGCAGCAGTCTGGTTCTGCTATCACGGAATAACGTGTGTAAAACTTGATCGCTCAATGATGGTAGACCTTATGTGATGATAAGTCAATTCAGGTGGAGCAAATCACAAGCGCAAAGATGCACTTTTCATAACCGAGAGAATCATTTGAATAACCACCAGCTCCATAATAACGGATGAAACAGAAACTCTTTGAGACATTTGGAATTGACTAATGAGTTACTTAGCTAACATGGCTGCTCGTCTGTGCCTACAGACTGCACGTTAGTATGGGTGGTGGCCGATTGTATGGATTTCGAAGAGGAAAGCAACAAATCAAAGCATATGAAAAAGGTTACCCTCAAGGAGGCACATTAAGCCGAGTGGTAGATGACAACGTAGGGCGGCTTACGCATAAATAGGGAACGGTCACTGGTCACAACGAAAAATCTGTCATGGAAAGTTAGATAACTCATGAGATATGGAGTAAAATATTGGCAATTCGATTGCGACGATGATTCCGAGGTGGTCACGCGTTGCACGAAAAGGACCACCCGGTATAAAGCGTTCAATGCATGCCGCCGCTAACAAAAGAGGGAATCATCACAGTATTGTTTGGTTTATTATCATTGAAACCTCCTGAAAGACAACAGCATGGTAAGCAGCGGTGAAACAAAATGTGAATATAGGAAAAGAAGTCATGGTGACTGTTGCTACAAAAATCACAAGCTAACTGTGAGCCGATAGCCCCTAACCTAACACGCGATATGAGTTGTGAGAATTATAGAATGCATAAAGTATAGATTGCAATGAAATGATTATAATTATAATATAAAGGTATAACTTACAAATAGGTGAAAATATTGCAAATGGATACGTAGTTTCACGGATGCAGTTCAAACAATACAAGATGATTCAATTGCGATATGTGGTGCGTTAAAACAAAGCGTCTGGGTATTTGTGTTATATGAATTGATGCCCATATATGGACGGAAAAATATATAGTAGAAATGAAAAAGTAAATGGAGTATAGGCAGTCCAATTAGGTCACTAGTAACGAATGCCATCAAATGTGGCACTGACCGATCAGTGTGGCCACGATTTGAGGTTAAAATATACTACTTATTTTACATCAATGAATTCGGAACAGTGGAATAATAACGTGCTGTGGCGTTTGAAACAACCGGCGCTGCGATTTCAACAACGCAAAGCCGCATATTCAAAAGAAGCCTGGGGCCAGAAGAACACAGTCCGGGGAGAAAACAATTAAAAATTATTTTCATACCGGACTTGGAAAGATAAATGGGATGTGTTTTTCAGCTGCAGTGTGATACATTGAGTTCCGTCCTCGTTGGCACCTTTCAAATGCACCTGGTGGACACGAAACGGGGTCGAAAAGGCAAACGACGCATCCCACACGACGTGTTCGGGTAAAGTGAGTTGGGCTCTGACGGCCTCGGACCACCAAAACGCAGGAGAGCGCAAGTCAGTAACAGAATCGGCCAGTTTATCGGGAAACCAAGTGTTCAGGATAATCTCTTGACTGGCAGCTACGTTCATGGAGTTAAAAACAGTGGACAATGCTCGAGACGAGGCACAGCCAAGAGCGAAGCAGCAGTCAATATAACTGTGGAGCCAGAGCAAACGAGAGAGAAGCACATTCAAATACGGATTATGGGAAAGCACACATTCATAGAATGCGCGTACGAACAAGGTATGGGTAAACAAGAACAGACATAAAGGAAGAAATAAAAGAAGCAAACATTTAGTTCGTATTGAGTAGGCATACTCAATACTGCAAGGTGGTTACCCGAAACTTCTTCAAACAAAACGACTGTATCACCAACTACGACTGTGTGTTGGTGTGATGTCAAGATCGATGAAAGCAATCGCCTCAAATGGATAGCATATAGTGAACTGAACATTGGAAAAGTCAAAATAAGGTGTGGAGAGAAGTATTCGACAGGGGCTTCATGTAGTGCCGACTAAGAACGTTACGCCAGCAGAGAAACAACAGACAACAATGAGGAATGCGGAAAGGCCGAATGTTTGTGACCCGCAAAATGCACATCGCAGAGGGAAACAACAGAGAATGGGGCACTGTTTCTGTAGACAAATAAGTAACGCTTCAAATCAAATATTACACGGTTAATCCGCGGAGTTTGATGACAAATATGGCTCTAGAAATAAAAAGGTTACTAGCAGTACGGTCGCACGCAGTACTGACGCTTCGCTGCCGCGCAACCCCCGAGTCACGCGAGAAATAAGGATACTGCGGGGGACGCCCGATCCCATACGCAGGCTCAAATCGGCGCACTCGGATTACAAGGCAGGACTGTGATCCTTTAAGCCACGGGTCGGAATACGTGACGCGCCCAGGAGTAGAAACTCAGCCGTGCGCTTGTATGTCCGACATACAGACCGCTAGACCGCAGGTGGAGATAACAAGGTTTTGAAGCCGACTCAGGGTACAGTGGCGTTTTGGTAGGCACATTACTGCGGGATCACCTTCCACACTTCCAGCTGACTTGTCCCATATACACCCATTACTCGGATGCACCATGCCGTGGACAAAAGATTACAAATGCTTTTGGTGTAGCGCACTTTGGACGATACAAGTGCGCTCTCGGTTCGTGTACGCCGTACATCGAAGAAAGCTGACTGAACAAATCACAACGCGACTGATGAGTTGGCGACTGCGATTGCTGTTAGCCACTAATTACTTCCGTCGATGTGCACACAGCCGAAGCCACAGAAGTGAGCTTTGTGCGAGTGAGCAACAGGGTGTCATAAAAGACCCCTGTCGTAACGCTGACCCGTCTTCGCTCACTGTCTGGTGCCGAGTCCAACCTATCCATGGAAATATCAGAAAGACAACTGGGTTGACCAGAGAAGAATTTATTAGATCATTCATTGCTATATTTAGAGGTCAAACATACACCCACATTCCGACATTTTAGCCGTAAACTTCTTTTCTCCCATGTGCGACTCGCTTGTCTTGGCCAGGCTCACGCAACGCCCACGCGTATGAGTAGGGAATTGGTACGGCTATTTCCCGAAAGGATTTCTCACGTATCGCGGCTCAGCAATCTTGGCACGGCTCACACGACGCCCACACGTATGACTGGGTTTTTGGTCCCACAAGCAACGTAGGCGAGACTTCACTGAGTAAGCCAACTTGTTCGCAGGTTCTTGCCTAACGCCGAGAAAGTGCATCTCAGCATCAGACCGTTTTGACTCCCCAACACCGAAACCAAGTCGACTGATAATCTTGCACAAACGTGCACCAAATTAGGGAGGGTGACGATGTGGCCAGGATGAGTCCGGTGTACTTCACCGAAAAGTGGGTCGGCGTAAGCCGACGCCACCTCAGCAATACTGAATAATTGATAACGACTAAATACTATGGCAGTAAGCGGACATTTAGATCTGAACAATTCCGAAGGTAATTTAAAAGATTTAAAGGGAACAAACCGTCAACAGCCAATACACTAATGGCCCATCGGTTTCCCATGTGACATTGCATAACCTTTGGCGCACAGTATCACAGGGTTCATAATTGTGAGAGGTCAGTGTCAGCAGATAATCGCTCTCTGGAACGAACAATGGAGAAATGTGAATCAGGTAACACTGTTTCACAAATGTGCTATTACTAACACTTGAGTCAAAATGCCGTCCGGTCGGAGAACTTCGCTGCTTCGCTTTGTACTGGATTTTTCCATAACCACCCTATCACATACCAACCAAAATCCACTTATTCGACTAGGCGACAGTGTTCCAGGACATGGTGGGTTTTCGCCTGGCAAACGTTCTCCCTACGAAAAGCCACAAATATCAGCTTAAAAGCACTGTGATGTGGTGGGTGTGGCTAGCCACTAAATAAAATCACTACCCAAGCATACGCAGACAAACTTATCAAATCTACAGACGTCAAACATTTCTTCAGACACCGGCGACGCGATGGAACTCATTCAAAAGAACAGCAAGACATTTACGAACACAAACAACACATCTACCTATATACCTAGATTTATGGATCCACATATATGAAAATCCTATGGTAATATTGTACATTTCTTCATACTTTGTAGTAGTATTACTATGATCATGCCTTTAGTGGCGTGCCTCGCGTAGCCGAGAATAAAAATTTGTTTATTTAATTACTAGCTCTATCTGGTGGATGAAGAAGAGTAGGAGTTATTATATAGTCTCATCACCTAAATCGTCCAAAAGATTTCGAAGATTTGTCGGAAACGCATGCCCAGGATTAACCTTCTTTGTGAATATATATCGGAATAGTTATCATTATTCGAACACGCACACTCAGGGGATTGCAGCAAGCCACATCCCAGCACTTTCTGAGATTCCGTTCGGTAGTTGCATCCAGATTTGCAACTGAGAGCTGTGCTTCTGTCTACCTCGTCAGCACGCCGACCGTATCAATTGACCAATTTTCTCAGCCGGCGACAAGCGATATACCTTGTTTTATGTCAATTGCGTCGCGCTGCCGCAAGCAAGCATCCGACCATTCAACAGCATCACAATCCACACCGGCAGTCACATGACCGTGTGGTATCGAGACTGAACACATACAACCATGACAATTTCCTCAAACGTTGAGTACATCCTGCGTAGATTATCAAGTTGCCTTATCTGATACAAACAGCAGGGTGGATAAGCAAAAATATGCTACTGCTGGCGCCTCGCTTCTTTCTTTTCCACCTGTCTCTCTTACGCCCCTCTCAACCCCCATTACCAAACTAGCTTCTATAGTTCCCAGCTTAATTGACAGCAACCGAAGTGTCACTGAAGTCACAGCAACTACAGTCGCTTTCACGAAGCACCCATCGGACGCCTATGAGCAACAGTACCCTATAAGGCCACGCTGTCCGTTTCCCTGACGGCGTTCAACGTTCGCAGTCTAAGACAAATCGACCAACAGGCTACACTCGCACTCACGTTGCACACACTGGGTATTAACGTATGATACGTATCAGAAACCAGGATCAATGACCCTCATGGAGCCGTTGAATTAACTGCACCCGGCTGGTCCGGTCGCTACTGGTTGCACGCATCCAGAGACAATGATGTGGCAGCCTCTGGTCAAGCTAAAGTAGGTATAGTACTCATCTCCAAGTCGTTGATTGATTGGATTCTGGTGAACAGCCGTTTGTATGCAGCCCGTTTGACGACACCGACCGAGGTTGATTCATGAAATGGTACAAGACGCTGTTTGTTTGTGGTTTCCTTTTATGCTCCAATCGACTGCAGTTCGGATGCTGCCAAGCACACATTCTATCACGAACTGAACACATTAATACGCAGTGCTACCAGTTCAGATATCATAGTAGTTGTATTGAATATGAATGCACAAGCAGGTCGCGTGGGCTGTTCAGAAACTCAGCTAGGTGGTAGTTATGGGATTACCACCGACCGTCAAGACAATGAGCAAGTCATTGACAGGCTTGTTTCCATCGCCCCGTGACATTTATGAAGTCTAATTCTTTAAAGTGCTCATAGAAAACGTTTCTGCGCACAATACATTTTCCGTTAAACTAATTAAGGCAAGATCCATAAACAAAAGTTGTATTTTCTTAGCGTGCTTACTCAGTTAAGCGCCCCACATGTATTCTTGGTCGCCGAAATATGCTGCTCATCGGATAAGTTGGATTTCATGTTAAATATTTCAAAACCGCATTCGAAAAAGCCGCAGCACGAAGAAGGGAGGCAGATGTACATCGTTTGTCTGCATCGAAACTTTACAGCGGAGCTACTTGATGACCCACAGTTAAACAATGTCCCTGTATCTGTGTGGCTATCAGTCGTTGCAGCCTCTACGATGATACTTCTCGAATGTATGTACAACCCTTAGAAAGTGACAGCCAGGGGTATCGCTATTATCTCCTCGGCGTTTGATTTCGCATCGGTGTTACGACACTGACTAAAGATAATCGCAGACGATTTCAATCTACCAAATATCACTTCGTCGCCATAACCATCCACATCATTGCGTAGATATTTCTTGTGTACTATCCTAGTTGGGGGCTGGACTCAGTGGTTCACCAGACCAACTAGGCCTGCCGACGTACCGGACTGGGGATCACCGACAGACAAACTGACATCTTAGACACCCTCCCTGGTAGTGATAATAGGATGCTACAGCTTACCTCCTACATAATAATGAATACCAAACTCGACTCACCTATCCATCACACCATCCAAAGGATTGACTTGGAGTATTTCCAAAAGCCAATCCGGTCCTCTAATCTGGATACCTTTTTCTCTATACTAGCGCCCCCATTGCAGTGGAACAGTTCAACTACCAAATCCATTGTAGTATTACTATACTTGTCCCACATTACAAACGTGCCATTCCTGGTCCTAAGAATGCAAGTGATATTTGCGGTGACCTGAAAAGGAGAAAACTAATTGGGAAATGTAGAAAGACCAAACACTTGTCATTACTGTTACAGTCGCATGAATCCAACGCCTGAGGCAAGCGTTCACAAATGAAGCAGATTGAGGAAATCGCCTTGCGGATGACACGCAAAGGAAAGGAATTGACAAAATTACTCCGTCAAAGAACTAATAATAGGATTTTTTTGATCACGGAACTGATCGATGAAG